CCCCCCCTTAGTCATTCCTTCATTATTAACCATTTTATAGCCATCCTAAATACATAATGTTTTTGCAAAATGAATTAAATGGGTTTGTTTGTTTAACATTGTGCAATAGAGGATTAACCAACTGGAAATGATGTTCTAGGTTTTGGAAGGGGATGTACGGCCGTGCAGAGAAAAGTGTGGCTTCACACCAGTCTCCAGCTGATTGCCTGAACGTGGTGAGGGAGGAGTCACAACAATTGGAGGAGGAGCTTAGCACCCACCAGGAGGTACCACGGGAGACGGACGCTGGACAAGGCATACACACGCATGCATAAATATCACATATGTATCATCAAGCATTTTAAAATGCATCCACAAGTAGAGGATGGGTGCATAATTCATTCCCACATATTACAAGTATACTATGCAGAATGCTAGTGTTCCATTTCAATAGAGTGACCATATGTCCTCTTTTTCCTTCTTTTCGAAGTTGCCTAAAATGTCCAGGTTTTGGCTTTGATTTTCTATTGCTTTCATACTTGCTAAAGGTAATGACTTTAGCTAATAGCTTGCAGGGATTGTACATAATCGACCAATCATTGTGTGCGATAAGGTGGGATCTACACAGAACGGTCAAAGCAGTGCAAATATGTGTACATAAAATGTATGAGGACTGTAGAGAGAGACTGTCAATAGGAAAACAAAGCCAAAACCCAGACATTTTAGGCACTTTAGGGACATGACCAGGAAAACCAGGATGTGTGGTCACCCTAATTTCAAACATTAGCCCAAGAGAATCGAATTTGTTCCTTCTTTTTGCTGCACTAATGTAAAACTCACCAACCTTGTCCTCTTCAAACTGACCTCTACAGAGACTTGCCCAACTGAAGGAGAAGAAAACTTCAGGGGGGAGGAAGAAGACCAACAAGCTGTCTGAACGTGTCCGCCGTCCAATTCCAACCGAGAGCAAACTCAGCAGCCCTCTAGACTACTTCACCACCACAAGAAGCGAGAAACACACTCCTTCCTTCACACTGCCACTAGAGTTAGCAGCCCCACCCAAGAACGGTGACCCTGATGACCTTTCAACCTGCAGTGATTTCGAGTCAGGCGTGGCTGACCTCAGCAGCCACTCCTCTAGTGCTGGAGACGACGCTAAGGACCCCGATTCAGATGAGGCGGTCAAAACAAACGCCTGAACTAAAACAGAACTGGTGGCAATGAGGGATAAAAGCACAGTAACGGGTATCAAACTGGGAACTGCTGTGTTTTGTTTTTTAATGTCATTTAATTTTTTTAATCTGTGTGTGTGAATTTATATTTAAGTATGTGAACAAGTACACATATCCAAGATGGTCTGGCAATAAGACCTTATTCCATTAGAGTAAAATCTTATTTCTTGTATAGTATTTTAAGTTTTGGTTTGACTGTATATTTCACTTCATTTCTGATCCTGAAGCTGGTAAGATTTGCCTTCATTGTTTTACACAACTTTTTCACATGACTTAACTTTTAACTGAGAATCTAAAATCATACCAAGATATTTTTCCTCTGATACTTGTTCAATAATCTCATCTTTAATTTGAATGTTTAATGATTCTGTTACAGGTAATTAAATGTTGGCAACAAAAGGGATATTAATTATAGATAAAAAATTAAAAAAAATTAAAAATGTAGAAATGTTTTCTTGGCAACCAACTGAAATGAACTGAAATAATGCTTAACATATACATATATACATATATATATATATCTTTTTGCTGCACTAATGTAAAACTCACCAACCTTGTCCTCTTCAAACTGACCTCTACAGAGACTTGCCCAACTGAAGGAGAAGAAAACTTCAGGGGGGAGGAAGAAGACCAACAAGCTGTCTGAACGTGTCCGCCGTCCAATTCCAACCGAGAGCAAACTCAGCAGCCCTCTAGACTACTTCACCACCACAAGAAGCGAGAAACACACTCCTTCCTTCACACTGCCACTAGAGTTAGCAGCCCCACCCAAGAACGGTGACCCTGATGACCTTTCAACCTGCAGTGATTTCGAGTCAGGCGTGGCTGACCTCAGCAGCCACTCCTCTAGTGCTGGAGACGACGCTAAGGACCCCGATTCAGATGAGGCGGTCAAAACAAACGCCTGAACTAAAACAGAACTGGTGGCAATGAGGGATAAAAGCACAGTAACGGGTATCAAACTGGGAACTGCTGTGTTTTGTTTTTTAATGTCATTTAATTTTTTTAATCTGTGTGTGTGAATTTATATTTAAGTATGTGAACAAGTACACATATCCAAGATGGTCTGGCAATAAGACCTTATTCCATTAGAGTAAAATCTTATTTCTTGTATAGTATTTTAAGTTTTGGTTTGACTGTATATTTCACTTCATTTCTGATCCTTCAAGCCCTTGGTCATTTTAGTCTTGACATTTTCCATATCTTCTGTATGTTCGGAACAGCATATTATCATACTACTCACGCTAATACACAGAACATACATCAGATACCCAGTATTATGGAAGCTTGTTTCAGCCATGGGATAAAAAACAATAAAAAAGGTAATTGCTACTTTTTTTTTCTCTCACAATTCAGATTTTTTTTTAGTTTATCTAATTTTTTTTCTTGGAATTATGACTTTTTTCTCAAAATTCTGAATTTACATTTTACGATTTCCGTTTTTTTTTTTTTTTACGCCACAGAATAAAAAATACAAATTGCAACTATCCTCATAATTCAGACTTTTTGTCTCACAATTCTGAATTTATATCTCACAAATCTCTTTTTTTTTCTTGCAATTTTGAGAAACAATTTATTTTCTCTCAGAATTAGTTTTTTTCTGCCACAGAATTTCTTCTCACAATTTTGCCTTTTTTTACTCGCACTTCTGAAAAAGATATAAACTTTGAATTGTGAGATGAAGTTGCAATGACCTTTTTTATTATTTTATCCCATGATGGAAACTTCTTACAGGATGGAAGCTTCTATACAGAATTCATACAACATTTGAAAATACTGTGTCCTACAAAGCAGTATATATATATTTTTTAATAATTAGGTTTGGAAATACAATGCAACCATTTTATTTGACCATATAGAACGGCATAATGCTAATTCTGATTTCATGTTATTTGTAAAAACAGTAGGCAAAATAGAGTATGCTAGTAATCCAATCCTAGCTCAGATCTTCATGAAAATTGGACTGTGCCTTTCAAGACCATCGGATTCCCACTTGTGTATTTAGAAAATCTTAAACAGAAATTATGAGAATTTGCTGTACATGTGAAAACAAGAACTATATGGAATCAAGAGCTGTATGGCACCCACACTACATTTACTTCACATTTCTGTAACTGTAGGCATACGCTGGCATATAGACAATCAGTCCCTCACACATCGCTGTCATTACCATTTCAGCTACAACAGTAGATTTTAAACAATTTGTCTAGAACATATGAATATCTACATTTCTAAGGCAAATGCTCTCAATAAAATGTTTGCCAAACACCAAACAAAATGACAGGCTATCTGGAACTGGTTTTTACCATTTTTGATGAACATCATTTTTAAATGTGGAACTGCTTTAAATGAAACTGCAATGTGACTGTTTCCAAACAGGTTTCCTAAACACTTCCACCCCATCTTCGACTGTTGGACAAATAAGTCAAACACAGCCCTGCAGTACTTTGAAAGGAGCATTTACAAAGTGTTTACACACTTCATGAAGACACCTACGAATGACTTACATAGTTATCTTTGGCAATTTAACAATGAAAAATGGCACATTTCACCTTTATAGCAGAAACTGAACTCTTGTGGATGCGCTCATAAAATTCTGGCTGATAACTCATAAATGCCCAAATTTAAAATAGAATGCTATTTTGTCAAAATACATTAAAAATAAAACCATAAACACTAAAATAATTCCTTTTAAACCTTCAAGTTGTGCTCCAGTCATTTTTGACCGGAAAAGGATTTTCTTTTCCACGAAAATGCATTAGTTATCGCATTGGACTAAAACTTACTGACTTTGCTCACACGGGGTATAAAAGCTTCCCAAAAAAAGGTTGATTTTTTTTTTCTCCCACCTTGTTACATTTGTGGTACTCCTGGTCAGAAATGCCTGGCCTACAAAAAAAATTGCTTATAAATTTTGTATGGTATATTATAACCAAATATTGGATACAGCTTGTTTAGCATAGGTGTTTTTTGGAACTGATTAGTCATAGGCCTCGCTGATCTGAGCTTATGTGCCTCAGTTTTTGAGTGAAAAAAGCATCATTTGTAGACAATTTTGGGAATGTTCAGTCAAAAACTGAGGTGCATAAACTCAGATCAATGAAGCCTACAGAATCTGTGCTAAATTAATTGAAATAAAACAAGTTGACAAAAAGACTGAATCCAAGAATTGGTGATAATATAGCATAATGAAAGATTTACAAGCAGTTTTTAAAAGACCGCTAATTTTTGATCGGGAACAACAAATTAAGTAAATAATTTTTAGCATAGCACAAGGGATACACGCTACAGATTAATTTATGCATCACAACACAGAGTAGGTGAAATGGATGTTTTCAGATGTGAATAATATATTCAACAACATCATTGAATTATTAGTGTTTTAAGTGATGCTTTAAAGGGGACATCGGATGCCCATTTTCCACAAGTTGGTATGATTCTTTGGGGTCTTCATGAAATGTCTGCAACATACTTCCTCAATGGTCATGTAAAACAACAGCTTTTTTACCTTGTCAAAAACAGCTCTGTTCTCAGCGACCCGTTTCGCATGTCTCTTTAAATGATAATGAGCTCCTGCTCACCCCGCCCCTCTCCTCCGTGGGGCGAAATTCCTCAATGGTCGTGTAAAACAACACCATTTTTACCTTGTCAAAAACAGCTCTGCCCAGTCACCCGTTTGGTGCATGTCTCTTTAAATGATAATGAGCTCTGCTAACCCCGCCCCTCTCTTCCGTTTATTTGTGTATTCGGTGGCGCGTTACCATCAAAATCAGAACTAATCCACTGCGTCCTCAGTGGCTCTGATGTCGGGAGAAAATGAAGACTCTTATGTTCACTTTTACATCCAACTACAAAACACTTGCATTGCTTACAAGACATTGTACAAGCATACAACTGGCCGAGGGCGGAAATATGCTAATACAAGACAGTCCGTCAGCGGCCGTGGGCGGGGCTTGAGCAATATGATGTCATACTGCTCAGAAAATCAAAACTGCTTGATAATTGAGACTGTTCAGGTTTTTGGGGTTTAAAAAATAAGAGTGAATGGATTTTTATCATTGTAGGGTGGTTTGTGTCCACACACTGCTAAGACACATTTATATGCAAACACCATGTGAAAGTGAATTTTGCATCCGATGTCCCCTATAAGTGATGCTTTACACTGTTACGTTCAACTATGGCAAACATAATCTTAATGTAAAAATAGAGGAAATGAGCACAATTAAATGTCCAATACTTACCAATACCAAATGAATAAATTTAAAAAAGCTCACAACTGATATGGTACCTATATATTGTGCATATACCTCTGAACTGTTACTGAAGATGCAAAGCCACACTTAAGCCATAGCAGAGATTATTCTAAATGTTTTATTAACATATCAAATTAAATAAACATATAATACAATGTCTAATTATAATAAAGGCTTTTATCAACATTATTAAATACAGTATGTTTTTGTCGGCAGCATTAACATTTTTCAAAATCATCTTCAAGTGCGTACAAGGCCCAACCCCATTTGTCACATAAACTGAAACTGAACTAATAAGCTTAGAACTCATTCTGTTTCTGAATACTATTAAGAACAGATTGCTCTCCTCTGATTACAGCCTTTGGGTCACAGCCAGACTGGGCACATCCAGAAGTACTCAGGAAATTTTGTGCAAAAATCACTGATTTCATTAAATGATGCCGAAATCTCTTTTTCATATGTATCTAGGTTTGCCCACTCAAGGCTGTAGGCCACAAGATGTGCTGCTTGTCTTAAGCTCACCGGTCTGCTGGTAGATTGATCCCAAACCTGTGATAAAGAATATCATATGTTCTTTTTTTTTTTATCAACACAAGAGTTAAAAACACTTTCTTACCATTTGTAAATCAATCTGTTGAGTTTGAAGAAAATATAAATAACCTACGTGGGGCATTCAATCTAATGTGTGGTAGGGAACGGTCATGCATTGCTGGAGCTTTTCCTCTTTGGCTCTTCTGCAATGACAAAGCTGAAAAAGAAGATTAGATCATTATGTTAATTTTCAGGAAGTGCACAAGTCTTTCATATCAGACCTTATGATAAGACCCAATGGAATGACTTGACAAGCATAGTTGTGTTCCCGTGTTAACTTTCTATTGCAACAGGAAGTCGAGGCAGAACATAAATCTCATGAGCATCACACTAGTCTTACGAAATGTATGAATCTAACGATTCTCAATAAAAACTTGTGTATTGCTTCAAGACAGCAACCATACATCTGTGTTTTTATTCATTTAATCAATTAATTATTCCATTTAATCATAATAATTGGTTAGATTATGATTGTGTGGTTTTGAGAGATATCGGTCTTCACAAGTAAGAAATAAGAGAAAGTCTCCAATTCAAGGTTTTTAACGTCTCAGGACGATACTGTGAAGCATTAAGCTTTTGGTTTGGTACAATAACACTTGTTGGATTTGTAGTGGTCATTGTACTGGTTTGAAGTTCAGAAGCACTGAAACTGTTCTTCCTTTGTTTCCTCTGTCAACCTTTCAGGCTGATAGAAGACTTTTAGTTAAAGGGGTCATATGATGCTTTTTTAAAGATCATTATTTTGTGTATTTGGTGTAACAGAATATGTTGACATGCTTTAATGTTCAAAAAACACATTATTTTTCAAATACTGTACATTATTGTAGGTCCTCTATGCCCCGCCTCTCTCAAACGCTTCGTTTTCTACATCTTAACTGATTTTTAGTATCAAACAAGGCTTGCTGTAAATGGATGTCTTCTGATGGGATCTGGTAAAGAGACTGCATCCAATATTCCTGGCATGAAGATTGGAGACCCAATCTAACATGTATAAAGTTGTTTAAAATTATGCGTATAATTTCAAAATAGTGTGATGAATTGCCTATACATAGAGTTCTACTGGAGGTGCTTATAAATATTTGTTTGTTGTTTCATACACAATATTGCTTTAATACCGTTCTATTTTCCATGAAGCTGGTTAGGAAGTCGTCAATTTCTGTCTTTCCTTCCAGGAAGTTCTCCGCTGTCTCCTCAGACTCCTCTTCAGCCTGATGGGCCGCCACCTTTAATCTGGCCTGCAGCGCACTCAGACTACAGCTCTGGCAGAGGAAAATCAAAACAAACATTACAAAAGAGAAATCTGAATTTTCTGCAGCCATTACTCCAGTCTTCAGGGTCACATGATCCTTTAAGAAATTATACTAATCTGCTCATTTGGTGCTCAGGAAACATTTCTTATGATTAACATTGTTGAAACAGTGATAGACTACCATTCAAAAGTTTAGGGTAAGTAAGATTTAAAAAAAAGAAGAAAAAATTAATACTTCTATTCGTTAAGGACACATTAAATTGATCAAAAGTGACAGCAAAGACCATGTTTTTTTATCAAAGAATCTTAAAAATGCATAATGGTTTTCACAAAAAAATCTATAAGCAGCAAAATATCACACTATTAATAATTGAGCAATAACTGATAATAATTAAGCACCAATTCTGAAGACTGGAGTAATGGCTGCTGAAAATTGTACTTTTCAATCACAAGAATAAATTAAACCCTAAATTGCAAGAATAAATTAAACCCTAAAATATATTAAAATATAAAAGTTTTACTGCATTTTTTTTTTATTAAATAAATAAATAAATCTTATATTGTCAAGTCCATTCAACAACCAGAGCCAAATGTAACTGGATTAACAAAAACTGAAAGGCCAAAAAAACAAAAAAAAAAAACAAAAAAAAAAGACAAAAGATGCAATATGGAAGCAGAAAAACCACAAACACAACACAGGAATGTAAAAAATGTTTGAAATGTTCAATATTAGACTAGATGAAAACTAGAATACTATGTTTTCCATCTCCTTGTCCAACAGACTTCTTGTCATGATCATGTGCATGTGTGTTTTACCTCACTGAGCTCATGTTGTCTTTGCATTTTGGTTTCAAATACCGACTTCATCTGGGTTAACTGTTCATACTACAGAAAATAAAACACCAGATAATCGTTAGCATTCTCAAAAGGAAAGATACTGACAAGACTGTAATGTACAGTGGGATCCAAAAGTCTGAGGCAATTTGGGAAAATGCTACCATTTTGAATTATGCAACATACGGAACATAGGGAAGTTGAATCGAACAATTAAAATCACAGACGTTTGGACCCAATTATTTTTGTCAGTATTGGGGAAAGTACATACTTTACACAACATCTCCTGTCTCTTGCCCTCCAGTTGAGGCTCGAGCTGTAGGTTCTTCTCTGCGAGCAAGACATATTCCCTGTTATTTGCAAACCTGATCTGATCTACGTTGAATTGTGTGAGAGGTGTGAGCTTGTCGTTTTAAAGACTAACTTGATTCAAATGATATGCGTAATATTTGTTTACAAGAAAAATTGAACTGATCCCACTTTAGTCCAAAACTGATCTAGAATTAAGTAACAAGCGCAGTCTGCAGTGCACTGCTCAGAAAACTCACTGGCTATCTCTACGATGTTGTTGACCAGCTCCTCTTTGTCAGAGGTTACTTGTTTGAGCTGAGGCAGACACATGAAGAACTCCAACAGCACGTCATCTTGATCACTCATGTCCTTCAGTTGAGAAACACTAGGAGATTACAAACAGACAAACCCACCAGAAAGATGAGAGAATGTGACGAATGTCAAATTCATATGTTTTTCAAATAAAACAGATTTTAGTATATTTTGTTTTAGTACTATACCAGAAACAGACAAGACAAATAAGATCCAATTCATTCTCATAACAAACAAATGCCCTGACATATCGTACCTCATCTCAGACAGTTCTGGAAAGGTATCTGGGATTTCAGGCATCCTGTATATGTGTCCATTCAGACCGGACTACAGAGGAAGAACATCAAAAGTGAGCTTTCACAGGTTATTGTGGCTTGAATTACGTGTGTTCCTGTTTCCACACCTCTAAATGCTTCAGATGTACTGAATAGAAAGTGTTTGTGTGCCTGTTATTGCATGCTGAATGGCATCAGACTGGATAGACATCTTTTTTTTATCAAACAATGGGTGAGTAATGCGCTCCATTATTGAATGTTGCTTCATATTGCAAAAAGTCTTTGTTGTTGATTAATGAGATATAGCGCATTTTCAGTGCTAAATTCAGTGGTACATGCTTTAAGGAAGCCCGTTTCCATTCCATCACACAAGAAAAAAAAACATGCTTTGGTCAATCATAAAAATGTTGAAATTCTAAGATAAAAAATTCTTAGTCACAATTATGAGATAAAAAGTTGAGATTATGAGACACATAAATAGTTGGTTTTTCAGTCATAATTTTGACTTATCTCATAACTATGAGTTAGTATGCAATAATTTTGACTTTTAAATCTCTATTTAAGACTTTTTAATGAGGTAAAAAGGTATGATATACAAAGTCAGAATTATGAGATAAGA